TGTCCTATTCTTTCTTTTGTTTCATATTTGGTGAAATCTGACCATGAAAACAAAAATAAAAGCAAAGGAATTTGACTTAAACCCTACTAACCCAAATCACTGGAACACAACAAAAATATTCATCCATCAAAATTTATTTAAATTGATTTGGACTTCCGAGCCTTGCTACCTCACATTATTGTACCAAAAAATTATGTTCTTTTTTTTTTTGAACAGCAATGTTATCATGTATCAGTGAGAATTAGTTGAGATGTTTCTAGTGTAATGGCTTGATTTTAACTTGATATCTCACCTGGATCTCTGTTCTTTTTTACAGATATCTTTTTTCAAACAATTTCATGGCTCTGTGACTAAGTCAGGCTACATAGCCCTTCGAGAAGGATTTATAATGGTTAACCACCAAGAAAGAACCATGTTTATTTATTTGTGTTGTTTGTGCAGTATTTTTATAAAAATTCCAGCTGCTTACCTTTTTTCCTCCCCAGAATCTAGACCCACATGCCTTCCAGCCCTAAATTTTATTTTCACAAGTACATGATACGAACACTTGGAGTGGATTTCAAAAAAGTTGTCACCATAAGGTAATTGTTCTTGACAGGTCTACCATTATCTCTGACTGTAATTTACTTGAGATGTATTTGAATTTTAATACTTATATAGCCCACCGCTAATAATATTCATACACACAGTTGGTACCTGTGGCTATTTGTGGTGGTGTTTTTGCTGCTAAATGTGGAAGGTATATATTATTGTCCATTAGACAACACAAATTTAGAAATTACTTAACTGATTTTCTAATCGTAGATGGGGAATTCTAATTAATTATTCTGTTCATGGATTAGATTCAAAATGCACCGCGCAGGGTGGCATACTTATTTTTGGTTGTCATTTCTACCTTTAGTTACAAGTGAATCATCAGTTTCATTTCATTTGTAGCTAGTAATTCATTATTTTAGTTAGTTATTTGAGGAATGAGACAAGCTCACGAGTTTTTAACACGGTTGGGTGATGATAGCTTCTACCTCTTGTGGGGACAACTTAGAGCATATAATAACCCGCTTAGCTCAGGAGATAGTCGACAAGAAGATGCAAGACCAAGAAGCAGCACAAGTGAAACCCTCGAATAAACACTTTTGGTTCCATCGTCCTGGAATTGTGCTTGACTTAATTCACTTTATTTTATTTCAAAATGCATTTGAGATTGCATTCTTCTGCTGGATCTTGGTATGTCAGACTCAGCATGCAGTTATGTTAGACAAGATATCCATCTATCCCAATAAATGTTTTCCAACTGCTTAACTTTCTCTTTGTTTATTTATAGTTCACCTATGGGTTCCATTAATGCATCATTGAAAAAATATACTACATCATTCCAAGAGTTTTTGTTGGGTAATTCTCTCTCACACACGTATATATACTTTTATCTCAATTTTATCATATCTTTAATTTCTTTCTTTTAGAAATTTGATCCCGCTCATTGCTTCTGCAGCATAGTTGTTCTAGTTCTTTGCAGTTACAGCACCTTGCCTCTATATGCTCTTGTCATACAGGTTAACGTCCAGATTCATAGCTACGTTTATGTTGAGGCTCTTTGTTCATAGTTGAAATGCTCATGTATTCCCATTTCTCTTCTTGTATAAAGATGGGAAGCAAATTAAGCAAGGCATGTTTGACGAGTATGTGGAAAGATCTCTTGCTACTTGGGTTAGGATTAACAGAGGTGAAGCAACCACAAGCAACCCCACTGCAATTAGGATGACAACAGAGTATAATCAAGTTGGGAAGAAAGAAATGGTTCTTATTGAAGAAAGCAAAAATTCGACAATCCAAAACTATACATCATCAGTTTGAATTACAATCTAGCAAGCAAATAATAAGCTTTCGTGAAGTCGGTTAATCTATCCAGCTCCGTTTCATATATGGGAGTAACATCTGGGCACTTAAGTTCATAAAGGTTTTCATTTGTTCTGTTCAATGAATGTGTTAGACTGTTTTAACATGAAATGCCATTTTCTCCTCTTGCTCCTCTTTTTCTTATATCCTTCTTTTCCCTAGCTACCGCCTCCCCCTCTCCCCCCCAGTAGTTAAAATGGATAGCGAAAGATGAGAGTTAATTATCTTCTCTCTTGTGAATGTTTCTCTCCTTCATTTTTTTAGGGTTCATGCCTTCGTTGTTTCAATGCTTTTTTTATATGGTAACTTAAACATAATATTGGTTAGGCTCACATCAACATGATTCAGCTATTCAAGGTATGGCTGGGGATAAAGTTTTTTCTAACTAAATTTTTCTGCCTCAAGAACCAATTGATCTTCTTTGTAAATGGATTTTGCTGGAATGTGGCTTGCTGCTAAATATAAATGGCATTAGGAGGAAGATGACCCTTAAACTAATTGGCAAGTTTATGTTCCCCCATCTATAAGAGTCTTATAGGTCCCTCAAGTCAAACAATCAAACAAGCTATAAGAGTGCTGTGTACTGGTCCTAATGTTTAAACATGTGCCTAGGCATCTAACCTAAAACAATTTAGTGATAGGTAAATTTGTTGGATATAACTGGACTTATGAGGATTCTGCAGTGGAAGAGAGGAGAGTTTGGAGACTATATTTCTCTGTATTTTCTTCATTGAAAATAAGAACTTACAAAGTTATTTATAGATAAATCACAAACACTGGTTCTTTCCTAATTAACTGGTATACATGAATCCCATTTTCCTAGATACATTATTAAATACTACTCATACCAGATACATGAACTGGTTATTCAAGGCATGTTTATCCTTTCAACACCCCCCTTTAAACATGACTTTTTCCAACTCCAAGACAGCTTCTTAATTTCTTGAAATCATCAAACTTGAGAGCCTTGGTAAGGATGTCTGCCATCTGATCGTGAGATTTCACAAAAATTAGCTGCACCACTTTGTCTTCAACACACTGGCACACATAATGATACCTGGTATCAATATGTTTGCTTCGTTCATGAAATTGAGGATTCTTTGCCAATGCAATTGAAGATTTGTTGTCAACATATATTTCCGTTGGGCCCTCTTGTGTGACATGAAGCTCCTTTAGCAAATTCCTCAACCAAACTGCATGAGTTACACAAGAATTAAGAGCAACATACTCTGCTTCACAAGTTGACAGAGTAACAATGGGCTGCTTTTTCGAGCTCCAAGTAAAAGCTGTATCACCCATGTAAAACACACATCCAATGGTGCTCTTTCTATCATCAATATCTCCAGCCCAATCACTGTCACTGAAACCTCTAAGAGTAAAGTCATTAGAGGCAAAGTAATTCAACCCGAAATCAGTAGTACCTTTTACATAGCAAAGGATTCTCTTTGCTGCCTTTAGATGAACTGTTGTAGGAGCCTCCAAATATCGACTAACCAATCCAACTCCGAACAAAATATCAGGTCTTGTGCAAGTTAAATATCTCAAACTTCCAACTAAAGTCCGAAAAAGAGTTGCATCCACACTTCCACCTTCTTCAAACTTGGACAGCTTCATGCCACCAGCAACCGGAGTATTCACTGGTTTACAATTGCTCATGTTGAATCTTTTAAGCACCTCTCTCGCATAATTTTCTTGTGAAATGAAGATCCCTTCCTCCATCTGCTTCACTTCTATGCCAAGATAATAGGACATGAGTCCTATATCTGTCATTTCAAACTCATTGCTCATTGCCCTTTTGAATTCTTCAAACATCCTTGGATTATTGCCTGTAAAGATTAGATCATCTACATATAGGCAAACAATTAAAATTCCACCATTGCTCACCTTTACGTAGAGAGCATATTCATAAGGGCACTTGACAAAGCCATTCTCCTGAAAGTATCTGTCGATTCTGCAATTCCAAGCTCTTGGAGCTTGTTTCAAGCCGTAGAGAGCTTTCTTCAGTTTAAGCACCTTGTTCTCTTCACCCTTTACAACATAGCCGAGAGGTTGTTGAACATACACCTCTTCTTCAAGAGAGCCATTTAGGAAGGCTGACTTGACATCCATTTGGAAAATCTTCCACTGGTTTTGAGCTGCTAGAGAAATTATCAACCTTATCATCTCCAGACGAGCTACCGGTGCAAAAACCTCTTCATAGTCGATGCCATGTTGCTGCTTATAGCCTTTAGCCACAAGCCTTGCTTTGTATCTTTCTACCTCTCCTTTAGAATTCTTCTTCTCTTTGAACACCCATTTCACTCCAATAG